TGCTAAAAAGACAAGACTACTCTGACTCTGGGCGCTTTAATCTAATCTAGCCCCAGAGAGAGACTAGAAATTCTGGATTCCTTTTGAGTCATGTGCAATAGTGCAAGAAGCTTCATCCATTTAATCTCATCGGCCACAACCCTTTCAAGCACACAGGTTCTATTTCAGAATCCAACAGGTGACTGAGGTTCAAGAATTCCTGAGCTGATTTCTGAGGAGATCAGGTGGACTGTTTGCTACTCTTCTGGCAGGAAGGTCTGCTGGTATTTACAGCTCAGTGAACAGTAAGGAGGGAGAGAGCACCATCCATCAGCAAAGGAGAACTCATCTGCTACTTGATCTGACATTCTGTTTGCGCTCATGCTGTCTCCAGAGAGTAAGGTACATCCATTTGAATAAACATGGAGACAGGAGGAAGGGGAGGGGGAGCAAAGCAGCTAAAGAGATGACTGCAGAAATAACAAGTCCATAGATCTAGAAGAGTAGCTCTCAGTGGAGAATGGCCTCTACAGGGGACCCTTTGGGGATGTGCAGGAAACGCCCTTTTATACAGAGTGATGGTTGCAAGTTGCCATTCACCTCCACTTATGCCTGCTACTTAGCAGGTGCTGAACATCAGTATGTTGAATAAACACAGGCTTGCCCTGAACCTAAGCCAAATAGCAGACACCCTACCTACAAAGTCAGGGTCAGCTGGTAGGAGGAAATCACCAGTTTTTTGCAGCAGGTGACATCTTTTAAGACTGCCTTCCCTTTCTGGGAGGGTCTGTCCTGGGAATCATTGTCCACTGTAAGAGCTGGGACATTTGCATGAGCCATATTTGCCTTCATCTGGCCAATCCTTCAATTTTGTTTTACCAATGGCACTGAGCAGTCACCTTAGAAATGAACACACAGCCAAAGTGCTCCATTTTACTGTGTCCATTTATAAAAAGCATACCAGCTAGCAAGCCATGCCTCATTGCCACCTTTGGACTCTCTATCTTCCTGAAAATTCACTTAATGCTCCAGAGACAATGGATATCCTGAATGCAACATCACAGAAAACGCAACACTTCAGATGAGGCCAAACTGTGGTGCCCATAGCAACTCCACTGTTGGTTTTATGTTTGCATCAGGCAGAAGGTCCAAATAGCTGTCACTATTTGCTCAGAATGGAAAGTCGCTTAAAGTGACATTCGGTTGATTCCATATGTAATTCTTAAAGAGATTTCTTTGGGAGGGTTTTGGTGATTAAATAAAATTAACACTCGTGTTAAAATTTTAATTAGTTTGAATAAAAGAGTCCCCTGACTGAATGCAAAAATGATGAGGCTGAATCACAGGTGAGGTCACAACCTTCTAACAAGCAAAATTATGTAAAATGCCACATATTAAAAAATTCACTGATTACTCATGGTATGCGTAAAATTATATTTGTGCTGTCTCAATGATCATTGTTTACTTCACAGTACTGAAATGTTTCATTGTCTGACACAGAGCTCCTAATCACTAGTACACAATCACATTCACCAATTAAAAAAAAATCCAGCAAGCTATGTTCAAATGAAATTTCTAATAAAGTATTAATAACCAGGCTTTTAAAATGACAATCTAATCTGTAGCACATCTTAGTGGATGCAAGTTTTCCATTACAGTATGTGTCAAGCAAAAGAATTTCAAAGGTCAGTCTCCCTGCAATGTTCCTAGGTTGATGTGGGTGTTAACACTTTGTTTTAAGTAGCATCTGCCAGCAAGGCCTTCATCATATAACTTCAGTTACTAAGGGCATATAGGGAAGCCTAGTCCTTCTTTTAATCAGCACACTATAACATGGATGAGAATGTAGCTGAATGGCTCTTTGCTCATCTGTAAATGCTGATTAATAAGGGTCTGGAGATGTCTCAGTATCAATATTCTTCCTCTCAATGCAACAGGCTGAGCTATTAAACCTCAGTCCCCATTAGGAAATCATCAAGTTCTCATAGGGCATCACCCACAGAGAATGTGCTAATTTCATCTGCCCAGGTGAAATAAAGCAGCATCCTCATTAACTCATAAGTATGGCCTGATAAGTTGGTCGCCAATGGTATTGCCCAGGCAAGTCCAAAATTGCTTTCTGTAAATGCCCCCTAGATTTTCAGGCCCAGCCCCACCCACAGCACAGTTCTCCTGACTCAAGTGACTCTCAGCCAAGTGGTGATCTGGAAAATCACCTCTGTAAGGGAGGACTCAAAATAATTTGTCACTAGGATACAGTGACACCAATCCCACATTTTGTGGTTAATAAAACAAGTCCTGCATCCAGCTTGGCACAAGGCCCTGATCTGATTTATTTCAAGCCAAGCTGGAGGGCTCGCAGGAAAAGCTGCCATTCATGAATGCCTCAGGAGGACAGGACGCTAGGGCCCCCTTGTTGCAAAATTTACATGGGCCAGAAAGTTTTCTGACTGGCCTTTTGAACAAACTTAGCTTATTTCCTAAAGAGAACAGGTATATTTTAAAAAATACATGAAGAGTTTTACCTACAAAAATCTGTTTTGCTTCATATTTTTCTTCAAAAAGGTGTCCTGGGGGTAATAAAAGGGGGAATTCAGGGAAAAGAGAAAACATGCTAGGATACCTGATTTAACCATCTGAAAAACCTAACTTGACTTTTTTTCCTCCCCCCTCAGTGCAACCAAATGAGACGCATAAGAGTTTCCCAGGGAAGTCTAAACACAGCCTCCATTTAAGATTTTCTGCCCCAGTACATAATTAGGAATTTTCATTCTAAAATGGCACACCTATCTCCTTGGAGAGCTTAGCTCTTTGAATAAAAAAGGCGACGTACCCTTTGGGGGACTCAGTATATATTTTTAAACTTCCTATTAAATCAACCTAATTTATGGGAAAAGCAGGTAAGGAGTTGCTTTGGAGGATGCAAAGTTAATTTGCAGACTCTAACATACCCGCACCTCTTTCCTTCCCCCGCTCCCCTCACCCGAGCGTTTCCGAATGCCTTCGGCCCCCTTTAAGAGGCTCGGCTCTCTCCGCCAAGGCCCCGGCTCGGCTCCGAACATTGCCGAGTCCTTCCGAGCCCCGAGCCCAGCCTGCGCCGAGCCGAGCCGAGCGCCACTGAGCTGAGCCCCATCGACTTCTCTGGCCTCAGATGGGCGCTGTCCACCACTCGCAACGCCTGAAACCTCACCCAGTTCCCGTCGCTGGGGCTTCTACCGGGCTCCAAGCCCGCCACTGCAGACTCCACAGTTCTGAAGTTTTGAAACGTACCCCTTCGGGAGAAAGGGGTGGAGCTGCTTACATTTACCGACCTGCAAGGGTTCCAAGCAGATGCAACATGGACCTTATTGCAAAGAGCAATTCCCCAGGCCCCGCCTTCCCATCCATTTGGGTTGCACAAGCTCCAGAGAAGCCCCAGGCCAAATAAGCCGTGGCTCAGAGGGGTGCAGCGAGCCGAGGGGCCTCTGCAAAGAAAGCCCCAGGGAGCTCTCAAATAAAAATAAGAACATGACAAGCGGTCCGGAGAAATTGTCTCAGAGTCGCTACTCCCTACCATCATGGCGCCGCCTAGAACCCGCTTGTCATGCCTGTTACACATGCAAGATTTTCTGCATCTTGGTTCTGAAACCGCAAGCATGCCTCGTCTCCCACCCACCTTTCCGCGAAAGACGTTTGTATTTTCCATTGTTTTCCTATGGGATGCAATTACTTCGGCTATTCTGTCAAGTTGAAAAATAATCATTTTTGTTTACTGCACAGCAACCCCTAATTAGGAGCTGTGTGTGCACGAAGGTGTCACAGCAAAGCGACGTGGAATCCTCGCTAAACGGTCTTAACGAACTCCTCCGTCCCAAACTGACAGGCGAACGGAAGCAGCAGGGCCAGGAGGCCCGAGGGCGCGCACTCCTTTCCTAAGGCCACCCCCTAACCAAGCAAAGCTGCCTGTGGGCTCACCAGGAATTGCCGAGTGGATGGGGCAAAAAGCAAACCTGAGAGTGGGAAGGAGGAGCGAGGCTCCTTATTGAGAAAGTGTGGAAGGGAAGGAATATCCCATTTTGTTTTAATTTTCAACCATCACTCAAATCCACCCCCAGATAATTAGGAGGATAACTGATATCTAAGGTAGAAGGGGGTGGCGGCAAGTGGGGCCTGGAATCCGCATTGAGGGTAGATAACATGGAACACAGCCTATGCAGAGTGTAAATAAATACATTGATAAAGGCCATGGAGTGAACGAAAACTGCCAGTGTCAGGAGAGCAAAGGCTGTGAGGGTGGGGGAGGAAGGGGGGGAAGCAAGGGGGCGGGCATTCAGTCTCAGAGACAGCATCCCCCCTCCACCTCTGTCTAGGATACAGCTGTGCCAGTCACATACTCTTGGAAACCCACCCCTCTATTACAGCCCCTTCCCCTAACCTTCGTCCTTTGGGGGGGGGGTGCGCAGAAACTATAGCCTCCAGTTCAGCACCAAATCCATGAACAGCAGACACAATCCTCCACCCCAGTCTAGGGCTGGGTCCCCTCCATGTTTTAGCCAAGTTCAAAATCACTGCCCCAGGAGAAGAGCAAGGGGAGTGGGATTATGGATGTGGAGCAGGAGGAGGAAGGAGGAGAGAGAAACAGAGACAGAATGAGACAGATACACAGCCAGAAATAATGGAGGCAGCTATACACAGGACACATTCCACAAGCAAGAGTAATGATCATAATCATGCCAATAGTTGATGTTCTGATCAATATGGCGGACACTGTCATTCATACAACTACAGGCGCTCCCCTTCTCTCACCCCTCCCCGCAAAAAAAGACACCCACCCCGGGATTTAGGGTGGGGGACCTAGAACCAACGTATCGAATGGGGGAGGGGAGTAAAATCCAGGTCTGTGTGTGTGCGTGTGCGTGTGCGTGTGTGTGCACCCGAATTAAAAACCGGGCCTGGAGAGCAATGTGGAGTGAGCAAGGTAATACAAATGATAAAAAATTATTCTTAATAAAAGTACAAATCCCAATGCCACAGGGACTTACTTCATCTGCTTCACAATGGTGCTTTTTCCTGATTCTCCAGCCCCTGTTGGGACAGACGGGGGGGAAAAACTGGTGAGTGTCAGTTTAGGGGAAGGGGGGACAGAAGGGGGGTAAGGCATGCGAGGGAGTGGGAGATCCTGGGCACATGGTGGTGCCAACTCGGGGATCAGGTCCCCCCGGGTGCGAGTCGGGTGGAGTAACTGGTGGAGGGGGGTGCAGAGTGGCCGGGGTCGCGGGATGAGGGTGGCAGTCCCGGTGCTTACCCAGCAGGAGTAATTTCACATCTTTGGCGGCGCTGATGCCATCCTCTTTGAGGTTTTTCTCAATCGCCTTGCTCCGCTCGAGAGCGGCTCGCTCCTCTGCGCTCAGAGTACATCCCATGGTGGCCCCTTCCCTGCCACAGCCCGCACGACTCGGCTGGCACGGCTCCCCGGCTTGGCGCGCCCCCCACCCCCCCCAGAGAGCAGAGCCTGGGCTCAAAGGGGAAAAAAAATCACGATAGCCTCCCGCTGGCTGAA